TAACAAAACCCGTGATTTTCCGGAACTAAAAAACCGGATTTTTTCCTGATTTTTGTTTTTTATTTTTTTTTACAGGGCGATTTTCTCAGATAAATTGTATTTATCTCTTCTTTACTCTATTTCCTTTCCAATCTTTATCTAATTAGTAGTCACCTGGTTACTTTGTCTTTGATCTGATTACATCAATATATGCATGACATCAGTTAAAATGTAGTTAATGGTGCCAAACATACAGAAAATTGTTACCTCTTTTTAGGTGGCCCATAGACACAGGGAAGCATTTGATACAACAATTCAGTTTCATCCCCAGCACACACCGTAAGTGGGTCATTCCATGCGCAAATGAGATTCCTAAAGACAGTCCGATACTCGTCTGAGAGATTGAAAGAAGCCAGACCACGGACAATGAGCCGGTTGGAATTAGCCCTCGTTACAGAACGTTTCAATGTCTTTCTTTTTGCAGTCTTGTCATAATATTTTGCTTCGATATCAGCAACTGTTTCTGTATATGCTTTGCCTACAAAAAAAATTCCGTAATAACAATATACTTCATTGAAGTAACATCAGAATAATTAAAAGAAATTAAGGCACATAATTACTTACCCACATGTAAATAAACACCAAGATAGTTGGCTTCTATAGAAGCCGCACAATCCTCATCAAACATGACCTTTGCCCGAAGTAAGGGCCCAGTAGCTTGTTCTTCTTGTGTTTGGCTTGGTGGATTTGCCCAGTTCTTGACCTACAAAGTTTCTTGTCAGAAAGAAGCGAAAACCTATAATGAAGTATGTACCTATATTACACACCTGAAATACAATGGCCCCAAACTGTGATGTAGTGCGATGTTTGATAATTAGCCCAAGATCGGCACCTTGTTGATTACGCTTAAAGTGGATTGCCCCACGTCGTTCCCAAATTGCCTCAATGGTTTCTTGGTTGGGTTTATGATTGATCGAAATGAAGTGAGTAAAGCCTATATCGAAATCATCGATTTTGGGAAGCTTAACTCTTGAAAGTCCTTCTGAATCAAGAAGTTCACGAAGAAATGACATAACTGGTCGGCGAGCAGAGAATAAAATTCCTTTGTTGGTGCGTCGTTCGGTGCAAATGAGGCGGCGCCAAGCTCCCAAGAGCAACAATTTCACTGCTAATTCCCCTTGATCCCCTGCGTCGAGAATGCCCCCAGATTTGTACACAGCATCTAGTTCCTTTAGCACCACAATTTCCACACCTTTTTCTGATAACAGTTCCATTGAGGCTTCGGGCAGTAAAGGCTCTGATGGGTAAGTAATAAGGTGTCGCTCGCGTTCGTCGTCAACAGCTACCAGCGTAGCCATATGCGATTTTACAAGTTCAGGTGCAACACTTGATGTTGGAGAAACATAAAGTGCAGCTGTGCAAGCAAGCAAAGCAAGGGCAACTCTTCGTTTAATAGTATCTTCCTGGATTTCACTCCACTTAAGTGCTCCCCCAGTAAGCTTGGATTTCGCAAGACGTAATATTTCGTCAAATCTGTCTTCTTGGTCAGTTTCAGCAGTTTGACCTGACCATTGGGAGCCCCAGAGCGGTCTACCGAACCGAACAATATCATAAGTTGGATTAATTTTTTCCAGATGGGGGATGGAGTTACTACAATCCAAAATGCTCGATGAGTCGTGATGAGATGGCAGTAATGAATCATAATATAATACCCAATTAGCATACCCACCGTAAGCAATCCATAGTTGCTATATAGATGAATGGCTTATGAAGATCTCGTTTTGGATTTCTTGTCTAAAAATAAGTGTCTGGTGAATATTAATGTTGAGAGAAAATATAAAAGTATGAAGATATCACATACTGACGGATCGCGTTCTTTCGAAGGTACCAAGTTCGCAACCGATGAATTAGTATCAGTAAAGATACCTATAGCTGCATGCTTGCATTCCCATAGTGCCCGACGAATGGCTCTGAAAGCCTGGTTCTTCTCTTGAGAACCAGCACCTGTAAAATCATCCGATAAGTCAATGATTAAAAATGGAAAGATATTGAAATGAGAACAGACCTTCACCGAGAAGGGCAGAAGCCTCATCAAAGTATAGTATTATCTTCTCCTTTACACTCCCCAAATGTTCATCAGCGTCACGATTTTGACTAACGGAATCCCAAAACTCACGTTGTGTTTGCTAAGAAAAGGAGTCAGTAACCTTGAAATGGCAGTTAGCAACAAACTGAATATACTTAACCAGGTTGTTCAGCAACTTTTCTCGATAATTCTCGCCAGTTTTTTCTTGACAATATGTCCTGATCATAGACCGAATCCATGACAATGCAATCCTTTCAACATATGGGAAATCAGAAGACCAGAGATCTTTCAACAACTCCTTACTCTGCGGAGTTGCAGGTGGGTATCCAGTCGAGCCCTCCTTGCGGAAACATATGTATATAAGGGGACGCGTTTTAGCTAGCTCAAGGGCGGCTCTGGTTTTTCCATATCCTGAGGACTGTACAATAGCCAAATAGTTGTAGAATTCATTGCCACCATTGGCAACCGCATGAATTCGCTGGTCCAGCTTGGCCAAGTAATTCACATCTTGTTGAAACGGAACTTTGAAAGCTTTATCGAGAACTAGAAGAAGAAAAGAAAAAAAGCGACTGTTAGTCTCTGTGTTGTTTAGGAACAGCATATGTAGACTAAGAACAAACCCGTGCTGGCTGTCACCGGAAAGCGTGAACTGCTCGTTGCTAACAAGACAGAACCAAAAAGTTAGTAACGCAATAAGAATTAGTAAACTTCGTATAACATCCATTCTATACTCCTCCCAACGCGCGTGTTGTAACAGCATTCGAACAATTCTCACTCCATTGCTCCTACTCTACTTAACCCAAACATATCATATCTTGCTTATTTGCCTTTCAAACGGGGTTTACGTATAACCCAGACTTTGCTACGACTCTGTTCTATGTCCCAACCTCAACGCATGTCGTAATGCATTTCAACTATCCTCCCAATAAACGTGTATTCATTGCGTGCTTACCTTGTTGATCTTCGAGGTATGCCTGATATGCCAACCTAATCTGGTCCTTGTTTGCATTTGGGTGTTTTTGTCTATAATCGTCAGCAAAGTCAAATGGGTCCATGTTATCAAGTTATGAAAAGAAACAAAGGAACGTGTAGCTGCGCGTTTATATCTTGCTGCGCTCCATGGGCATATCACGTTGTGGAACAATTGCAAGCATCAAATCAGATTTGTCTGATTGTTGCCCCGGGGTTGATGCACGTTTTTGGAAAGTGAACGATTCGGCTTATGTAGTACTTGTCGTACGCCTAGTCCAAGTACCTACATTCTTTGTTTGCTCGAACATTGTCTCTCAATTGTCACACAATACAAGTCTAACTACTAATAGTGATTGTTATACTGCCATGGACAACAACAAAGACGCTCAATATGTGCTTTATTATTGTTATGTGTTTGAAATAATCTTTGTTCATTGTCAAAGAAAAAAGAATTCGGAGGTAAATCAAACATTTTTTGTTTAGACTTTAACAAATCGAGCCTATCTTTTATGAGTGCATGAAATTACTATATATAAAGCAAGACGGTCAGAATCTCTCTTCTTCATACCTAACAATCATCAATTTAAATTGATCGCAAAATCAATCGTAAAAGCCACCTTATCAGTTTTGACTTAAACAATTTGAAAATGCCCACTTTCACCACTGAATTCTATTGTGGATTACTGATTGGAGTTCTCCTTGGCTTCATGCTTTATTATAACTACAAAAATAAACTTTACGAAATAAGTCAAAAAATTGATAAAATAATCAATTTAATCGAGCCTACAAAAAGGTATAACAATAAACCAAGTAAACAATTCGGCGAACAAAGTTACTTACCAGACGTCGAAAAACTGCTGAAGAACTTTAAAAAATTATTTGACAAAAAGTTCGGACTGGATCCGAATTTTTCATTTAATCAAATGGTCACCAAAATCTGCGAATTACGCAAAGGAAGAGGCATTGCAGGCCCCACGCTGAAAAGTTTCTACCAACGAAGAACAACCCCGCGGGAAAAGACCATTGAAGCAATCCAATGTTGGATCGATGAAGAAAAGGAAAATTTAAACCATGAAAATGACAAAATAATAGATGATAGTGATAATACTATTAATAATAGTGATAGTAAAGAAGATAATGAAATTTAAATTTGCACCAGAATGACCAAAGAATAGATTATACTCATAAACGGCTTTGGGTCTGAGTATTTTCCTTCCATGCAATCACTCTGATGCATTTAGTATTATTTATATTTTCAAAAGCGCGCATTCAATAATCGAAATAATAAGATTTATGCTTACGAAAAAATTGAATTATTTACGTTGTTTGATCTTTTTAATTGCATTGCATCAAAATAGTAAACGTGGTCAAAGCTCAATGAATGCGCTTAAGCGGTCTTCTATCAAGACTATAAAAAAACAATTTCTCTAATAGATCGCTCAATCAGTCAAGAAAGTTTTTACAATAAACTATTTTCCTTTTTACTTTTCTTCTAATTTTCATTTTTTTCTTGGTTCATCATGTGTTGGTGGTAATGTTCGTTTATGGTTTACTATTTTTCGTTCTTCTTGGTAAATTTCATAAGTAATTTTTTCTTGATCTAGATATTGCTGGAGCATTTGGGTATCATTGATTTTGAAAACATAAGGGGCAATTTTTTCTCCTTGAGCTTTTTTTAGAATGCTTCGAATGGTGCTGTAATTCTTTGGTTCCATGGTGGATTTAATATAAATTAGTTTCATATTTATATTTTTATATATAGAGATAACCCTATATTAATCCTGTTATGATTTATATTCCTCACATTCTGGTATGTAAAGTGAGCATTAAAATTAACAAGTCCATAACTAATGAATGAGCACCAAATTACTTTTCAAAACGTCATCAATCAAATTAGTTAACTTTCAGCCACACCAGCCTCTTATTTAAGAATGTTCACTTTGTCTGGTTTTGTTGCAGTCTGCCCCATATAATCAAATCTATATAATGCATCAAGCATTAAACTATGATTATAAACGAGTCTAAAGGAAGGTAACAGTGTGTTCATGACGTGGTCAGCTAGAATGAGACCTGGGATTTTTAATGATAGTGTTTAATTAAAGGATTTATGTAATAAATATGTAATTTCATTATAAGATCATAATTCAATAATAATAAAGTATAATTTT